AGTTGTTTTGGGTCAATGCCAATGGTGTTCAAGTGGTGCTCCAGTTGTTTTGGGATTGCATTATTATTATTATTATTATTATTATTATTATTATTATTATTATTATTACTACTACTACTACTACTACTACTACTACTACTACTACTACTACAAGGTCCCTTCCACTTCTGTTATTGTATAATTCTGTAATTCTGTAGATTGGAGAAATGGGTAAATTTTTTTCTTCAAATTGTAATTGATTAACACAGTTTATTTTTCCAGGTCGCCACGCCTTCTTATTGTTATTTTTGCAGTTATTAACTGGTTTTAATCCTGTAACCATCCCTACCACCACATAGGGTCATTGATAAGTGACCTTAGAAATTATAACTCGCCAACCTTCAACCAATCAAACCATAGAGTGGGCTTCAGATAGTAGATCTATGAATACTTCAGTTAGCAGACCATATTATATTTGTTTTCTTTTGTTCTGATTGCTAGCGGAAGACTACCCCATCTTTGAAAGGCATTTTTTTTTTCTCCTTTTATAATGCCAAAAGCACTCAGGTGTGTTTATAGAAAACATCGGATCTTTGAAGAGCATTTTGATTCCTGAATTTCTGGGAACTGTTTAAAATGTGTCCATGTGACGCAGTTCCTGCATTTCCTAGGACTGTCATTTAATACGTTTCCTATGTTTCTTGGAAATGTAGTGTGATAATTGTGATTAGATGACAATTCTAAGAAATATAGGGAGAAGAACTGACTTTAAATATTGTGGCGATGCTGTAAATGTGTGCCAGGTTTTCTTTTCTTTAAGGAAGTAATTTTGAGCTCGCTCGTAAAGTTTATAATAGGAATTTAATTGATTCCTCTCCAGTACAGATTTGGGTATAAAGAATAGAAATTAGACAGCCTAGCAGTATTTTTCCTCAAATCTGAAGGGTAAAACTCCCAAATTCCTTGTTATGGAGATTTTCGATCATCCAAGTTATAGTTGTCCCAAAGGTGCTTCCCCCCCCCCCAAAAAAAAAAGTCCAACTGGACTTTCTTGGCATTTTTCTTTGAAAAGATTTTGCTTCTCATCCAAGAAGCTTCTTCAGTTTCGAAAAAAAAATAAGAAAGGGAAAAAAAAGTATCTTTGGGCTCCAAATTCATCCCTATTATGCTTTCAACCAGACTTTGTTTTGGGCCAAGATGCAAATCAGCAATAACATTGATTAAGATGGTGGTTAATTCAAACATTGGTAATCTACCTCCGTTGATATTACAGTTGAATGGAATAAAATTTGCACGCAACTTAAAAATTTTGGGAGACCGATAAATGTAGCTACCTGGTTTTGTGAACTTTTGAACGCCTATCTAGGAGACATTTATAAACTAAGGAGAACAGGACAAAAACATCTTGCTGATGATGTTACCTAGTTTGGTAATGAAACGTTCATTAATTATATTGAAACAAGCTTGGAGAACAAGCCACAGCCAAAACGCCTATCTATATATTGGATAGACACTCTTCTCTTCTCTTCTCTTCTCTTCTCTTCCCTTCTCTCTCCTTCCTTCCTTTTTTCCTTCTTTCCTTCCTTCCCTTCCTTCCTTTCCTCCCTCCCTCTGTCTCCTTCCATTCCTTCCTTCCTTCCTTCCTTCCTTCCTTCCTTCCTTCTCTCCCTCCCTCCCTCCATTCTCCTTCCACCCTCCATCCCTCTCTTCTCCTTCCTTCCTTCTTTCCTTCCTTCCTTCCCTTCCCTTCTTCTTCCCACTCTCCATCCCTCTCTTCTCCTTCCTTCCATTCCTTCCTTCCTTCCTTCCTTCTTTCCTTCCTTCCTACCTTCCTTCCTTCCTTCCTTCCTTCCTTCCTTCCTTCTTTCTTTCTTTCTTTCTTTCTTTCTTTCTTTCTTTCTTTCTTTCTTTCTTTCCCAAATTTTGGTCCCTTCTGTTCTCTAGTCCAAATGATGAGCTGTGAATAAAGCATAAAGGATCAACTCTCTGGGCTTTGCTGTTTTCTGGCATCCACACTGAGTGAATTTGTGAATTGTTTCCTTAGCATATCGGAATAAGAAGTCAGATAATCGTTGCTGCTGAAGAAGAGTCTAAAAAAGGCCGCAGCATTCAGAGTAGGTGGTGGGAGAGTCAAGGAACCCAACACAGAAGACAGGAAATGACAGCTTAACAACTGGTAGCGAATTATAAGCTAAATGGGACACAAAGCAACACAAAAAGAGGCAGAGACCCTAGAAAGTGTGCAGAAAAGAGCAATGAAGATGATAAGGAGGCAAGAGGCTAAAGTGTACAATGAACCGCTGAGGGATCTGGGTGTGTTTAGCTTATCAAAGACAAGGATAGCAGTTTTCCAGTACTTGAAGAGCTGTCACAGGGAAGAGGGGATTGACTTGTTCTCTAAGGCACCAGAGGGAAGGACAAAAAGTAACAGGTGGGAGCCTGTTAAGGAGAGATGCAATCTAAAAGTAAGAAGAAATTTTATGATAATGGGAACAATTCATCAGTGGATTAGCTTGCCTCCTGGAACTGTGGTTGTTCCATCACTGGAAATTTTCCAAAATCAACTGGACAGTCATTTTACTGGGATGGTATAAAACATCCTGGAATATGGCTATCGTGTCCCCCCCCCCAGTCCTTCTTTTCTCTAGACTAGCCATACCCAAATCCTGCAACCGTTCTTCCTAAGTTTTAGTTTCCACAATTTTGGCCACTGTTGTAACTACCCCTTTGCAGACCTTCCTGTCCACTTGCCTGTCCACTGTCCCTATGCAGACCTGCCTGTCCCCGAAGTGTCTCTGGTGCTTTTCATCCCTACTGTGTATTTTGGCACCTGGCCATGATAACTATCAAGAAATCTTTCTGAAACTCTTCCATCTTTATCTGAGTTAAACTCTTATGTGGTTTGATGAATACAAGATCATTGGCAGTTCTCTCCCTTCCATCCAGGACATGGCGTATAAGCGATGCTTGAGCAGGGTCTACGGGATTGTCTGGGACACTACACATCCTCTTCACAACCTGTTTTCTTTGTTACTTTCTGGGAGAAGGGGGCTTTGTGGTATCCGAAGTAGAACATCCAGATTCAGCCACAGTTTCATTCCATACAGCATCAACCTTGTGAACTCTCAAGCTTCCTCTTTCTGTTATATATTCAAGATGGACAGTGATTAATATTTATATGTATTTATCTGTAAGAGTGTAGGTATGTACATATGTTGCCTATAGCATGTTTATATGTGTGTTATGTATGTGTACACTTTTGAGAGCAGGCAACAATTTCATTTATAATGTGTGCCAGTGTGCCCACAGTAAAAAAAAATGACAATAAAGCAGTGGTGGGATTCAGCCGGTTCGCACCCTTCGGCAGAACCGGTAGCTAATTTTTTGTTGGCTGGACTTCCAGAAGTGGCATCCACACAGAGAACCGGTTGTTCATTTATTTGAATTTCTCCACTGGATGGATGGATAGATAGATAGATAGATAGATAGATAGATAGATAGATAGATAGATAGATAGATAGATAGATAGATAGATAGATAGATAGATAGATAGATACAGTGGTGGGATTCAGCCAATTCGCACCACTTCGGCAGAACCGGTAGCTAATTTTTTGTTGCCCAAGCCCAGAACGGACTTCCGGAAGCGGCATCCATGCAGAGAACTGGTTGTTCACATATCAGAATCCCACCACTGCAATAAAGGTTATCTTATCCTATCATGGAGACATCTTACCTAAGGGACTCTTGGGCAAGTCATGTCCATAGAATGAAGAAGACACTTGGCTACTTCAGGTAGAGTCTGCTTTGGGGGCATCAACCATTTCTCAATTGTCTCACATTCTCTTGGGAGCCTTTCCTAAACCAACAGCATGGATGTTACGTTCTTTTTTTTAAGCGTGCCAGAACTCCATTGATAACACAGCTCCATGTAATTGATAGGAAGTCCTTTGTCACAGAGACCTGTGCCCAATCTCTGTAGGTTGGAGGAGCAAATTAACGAGGACCTACCTATGAGGAAGATCTACCAAAGAGGATCTACCTACTTCTTATTGCAAAATAGACCAAAATCTAATTGGACCCAAATGCTTATGTTATGCTTTCAATGACAACAAATGAAGATCTAGAATGTATATACCAGCTTTTTTGAGAAAAAGGAGGGGAGGAAAGGGGAGAGGGAGGGAGGAGAGGGAAGGGAAGGGAAAAGGAGGGAGACAGAGAGGAAGGGGAAAGGGAGGGGGAGGGGGAGAGGGAGAGGGAAGCAAAGGGAAAGGGAGGGAGAGGGAGGGGAGGGGAGAGGGAGAGGGAAGGGAGAGGAAGGAGGAGAGGGAAGGAAAGGGAAAGGGAGGGAGTCAGAGAGGAAGGGGAGAGGGAGGGAGACAGGGGAGAGGGAGGGGGAGGGGGAGAGGGAGAGAGAAGAAAAGGGAAAGGGAGGGAGAGGGAGGGGAGAGGGAGAGGGAAAGGAGAGGGAGGGAGGAGAGGGAAGGAAAGGGAAAAGGAGGGAGACAGAGAGGAAGGGGAGAGGGAAGAAAAGGGAAAGGGAGGGAGAGGGAGGGGAGAGGGAGATGGAGAGGGAGGGGAGAGGGAGGGAGGAGAGGGAAGGAAAGGGAAAAGGAGGGAGACAGAGAGGAAGGGGAGAGGGAGGGGGAGAGGGAAGAAAAGGGAAAGGGAGGGAGAGAGAGGGGAGAGGGAGAGGGAGGGGGAGAGGGAAGAAAAGGGAAAGGGAGGGAGAGGGAGGGGAGAGGGAGAGGGAAGGGAGAGGGAGGGAGGAGAGGGAAGGAAAGGGAAAGGGAGGGAGTCAGAGAGGAAGGGGAGAGGGAGGGAGACAGGGGAGAGGGAGAGGGAGGCGAGGGGTAAATGAAGGAGAGAGAGAGAGAGAGAGAGAGATTGTGTGGTGCTGTTTTAACTCTCGCGCCCAGTTCTCTTTTTCTGTTGTTTGGCATTGGAGAACACAAGATGGGGAGTAAAAAATTGTTGAAACATTAAACACTGGTTTTCAAGAATGCTAATTCTAGGAAAAGTGATTGGGCCATTTACTATTTAATCCTGAGCAAGTGGAAAGTTTCCTTTAGGCAAGAGAGAGTTTACAACGCTAATTACAGACCTATAAATAACATTTAAGAAAAAGAAGGCAACATGCATAACATGAAAAAAAATAAGGATTATTTTAGAAGTGGGGTTAACAATCCCCAAAGCAAAATCATGGTATTTGTACAGTAACAAACAGCTTTTCAAACGTGAGCACTCGGTAAGATGCAGCAAATCATTTAAATGTTGTGTTCAGTGTTTACATAAACCAAACAGTAGAAGTGAATATTCGTAGCTCAGGGTTGACCTGTGGGGTCCTTGGTGCTCTCTGAGCTTGGTGGTTTTCTTGCAGATCGTTTCATTACCCAACCAGGTAACATCATCCGTCTCTGGTGTTCTCTGATGTATGTAACCCAGTTTGGTAATGAAACATCTGCAAGAAAAGCACTAAGTTTAGAGAGCACCAAGGATCTCACAAACCCAACAAAAGTCAACGCACAATCAAGGTATTTGACAAGGCATCTCCAGGAGTGTTTAAAACAGTAGGATGGTGGTCATAATGAAGACATGACCCCTTCTATTATGTGCTACACGTGTGAAAAGGGCAGGGCTTCAATTGTGTAATCACAAGAACCATACTGACTATCTGGTCAATGCTCCACAGCACTATTCATGGCTGCCTAGCATTATTCAAACCCATCCAATGAACATATAGAAAAAAATAGTTTGCAGAATGAAAGACAATATTTCATTCACGGTCCTTAGAACGCATGGGTGACTACATAAAGTAGCAGGACTGACTTTCTGAACTGATTCGTTAACTCAAGGCCACACACGGACAACCCCCCCCCCGTATTATACATATAAATAAAAATAAATAAAACCCCCACCCCCAAAAAATATTCATGGTCTTTTTTAAAAAAGCACATTTGGTTTTTTTGTAAAAAAAAAAAATAGAGTTGGATGTACATGTTTAGAATAAACCACAGTCTTTCAAATTATTCTTTATGATGACGTCGGTGACCGCATCGAAGACAAACTGCACATTCTTGGTATCGGTGGCACAGGTGAAATGGGTGTAGATTTCTTTTGTGTCTTTTCGCTTGTTTAGGTCTTCAAACTGACACTGGATGTACGCAGCTGCTTCTTCATATGTATTTGATCCTAAAGGTGTGGGGGAAAAACAGCAAAGTTTAGACATTTTAAGCTTGGGAGAGAGGCAGGGTATGGGGTCTTTCAAGACATTTGCAAGAATAACGGGATTGGATGGGACCTTGGGGGTCTTCTAGTCCAACCCCCTACTCTGGAAGGAAACCCTATACCAGGGGTAGGCAACCTTGGCTCTTTTATGACTCGTGGACTTCAACTCCCAGAATTCCTGAGCCAGCATGGCTCAGCTTGGAAACATTCCCTTTCCCCTCAGCGTGGCTGGCTCAGGAATTCTGGGAGTTGAAGTCCACGAGTCATAAAAGAGCCAAGATTGCCTACTCCTGCCCTATACCATTCCAGACAAGTGGCAATCCAATCTCTTCTCAAAAACCTCCAGTGATGGAGCACCCAGAACTTCTGGACATTAGCCATTCCACTGATTAATTATTCTCACTGCCAGGATTTTTTTTCCTTAGCTTTAAATTGGATCTCTCCTTGATAAATTGGATCTCTCCTTTACTGTCCTGCCCTCAGGTGCTTTGGAGAATAAGTCAATCTCCTCTTCTGTGTGATGACCCCTCAAATATTAGAAAATTAAAAATATTACGTCATCCCAATCCTTGTCTTTCTTGGACTAGACCAGGGGTAGGCAACCTTGGCTCTTTTATGACTCATGGACCAACTCCCAGAATTCCTGAGCCAGCCACGCTGAGGGGAAAGGGAGAGGTTTCCAAGCTGAGCCATGCTGGCTCAGGAATTCTGGGAGTTGAAGTCCACGAGTCATGAAGGGGTCAAAGTTTCCTCCATGCTGGCTCAGGAATTCTGGGAGTTGAAGGCCACGATTCATGAAGGGGCCATAGTTTCACCATACTGGCTCAGGAATTCTAGGAGTTGAAGTCCACGAGTCATAAAAGAGCCAAGATGGCCTACCCTTGGACTAGACATACCTAGTTCATCATATTGCTTAGCCTCCAGGGGCCTTATCATCTTTGTTGCTCTTATCTGCTCTTTTTTTAGGGTCTCAACATCACTGCTCAAGCAGGAGACCCTATACCATTCCAGACAAATGGCTGTCCAGTCTCTTCTTAAAAGCCTCCAGTGATGGAGCACCCACAGCTTCTGGAGGCAAGCCGTTCCACTGATTAATTGTCCTCACTGACAGGAAATTTCTCCATAGTTCTGAAAATGGCTGAAGTTGAAGGACTACATTTTAAGAAACTTTAGGTCTTGGAAAAGCATTGGGGGAGGTTGGGTAAATCGTCCTCTCAAGCTTGACAATCAATACTTCCCCATGGTACAAAGCTCTTTGCTGGAATGTTATTGTAGCTAGCTTGTGTACCTGTAGTGAATGGATGGAGATATCAATGCTTCTAAATCAGGATTGACTCCTGATTACTGCCCAAATAGATCCCTGCAGCTTTCTAAGCAAGATTTTGGAAGTGGTTGGCCATTGCCTTCTTTCTAGGGCTGAGCGACATTGACTGGCCTAAGACCACCCAGCTGATTTTGTGTCTAAATCAGGACTAGTAGTCATGGTATCCTGGTTTATACTCGGGTCCCTTCACCACTACTTCAGATTACTAATGATTTTGTTAGACTTTACTCTTATGATGATTATGGGATCCATTGTGTCCGACTCTTGACGACTCTATGGGCCAAATCTTTCCATGTATGAAAAGACTTTCCTGTAATTAGCAAATGTAATAATCTGTCATTTATATTAGCTTGTTCACAGCATGGAGGAAAAAATATTTTCTTTCACGAAATCTTTAAAATTCTTTATAAAATCTTCTTTTTCTATGTAAGAATCATTTTAGTTAAATACTTTACTTTAAAAAAAAAAACCCTTTGGGGGCCATTTTAGCCACAGCTCGCCTTGTAGGAAACAAAATGGCTTCTACAACGAAAGAAATAGCTCCCTCATTCTCCATTCTCACACTGTAAGATGCCAAGATCACAAACAATACACAAAGAACATCTGTTAGACTAGGTCTTGCATAATTTATGCATCAGTGACGATGTTTAGCCACCACTAAAAGATGCAATTTCCCTAATTTAAAATAATGAAGCCCGTTCCTTAAATAATTTCTGAATATACTCCATAGCCTATAAATAGAGAAGAACATTTTTCTACATCTTAGTCTTAAATGGCTGCATGATGGGAGGAGATCCTAGTCTGCTCCTCAATATGTTAAATAAGATATTTTGTTGCTGCTTTAGTTCCCTCTGGTTGACATGATTGGGTTGGATTAAATTCCCCAACAATGGCATCTTTATATTATATTTAGGCCAGCAATGTGTTTTGACCAAAAAAAATTAGCCTTTCAACTTTCTCCTGAGCCATAAATGATCTTTCAAAGATGTAGTAACGTCAGCATTAAAGAATTCATCCTGGGGAAAATATATGTGGTCACTAGTCTTGAAACCAATTTGATGGCCGATAATCATCAAAAGTTCCCTTAAAATTCCTAAAAACGTCAAAAATCAGAGTTTGGGAGGAGGAGGAGGAGGAGGAGGAGGAGGAGGAGGAAAGAGAAAGTTTGCAGTTGAAATTTAATTATTAAATTTTAATAGCAGGCTTGAGGCCTACAAGGACCTTTGGTTGCCAGCCGTTGCTTCGAGTTGCCAATATTTTATTTGGCTTATTTACTATATTCTCTAAATTACAATTTACTTCTGCATATGCAACTATTCAGTGCAGTAACTGTTAGTCTGCTACAGCACAGTACACAATTACAATGACAAGTTAAACACTTTGTAGAATGTTCACATCACACCACACACAGATTCTTAAGTCTGTGCCACTATTTTGCTCCATAATAATGCTAATTCGGTTATTAAAATATCACATTATTTTATGTGAGAGGTAAAATCTGGAGTATGTACAGCAAACAGTTCCATAAATATCCTTCACATCCTATCAGATTCTTATTATTTAAGAGAACAAACATTTTTTGTCAATATTTACTATACTCAGAAAGTTCCAAGACAATAATTCTCTTTTTTTTTATTCTCCTTCCCTCAACATGTTTTCTCTGCATAAAACATGAGAGAGAGATATACCTGGATATTCTGGATAACAAATGGTAAGAGGACTCCTTTTAATTTTTTCTTCAAAGAGATCCTTTTTATTTAAGAACAGGATAATAGAAGTGTCTGTAAACCACTTATTGTTGCAGATGCTATCAAACAATTTCATGCTTTCATGCATCCTATTCTGCAGTTGGAAAGAAAGAGAGAATATATCAGTTTAATAATATCAAGATCAATTCACAAATACTCGCAGTGAAATAGATCAAGGAAATAAAACTCAATGTACCTAAACAACAAGGACAAAGTCTGAGGCATTTCTTATTTCAGACAATTATTTTGAATTATTCAAATCAATCATTCAAATGTATGCAAGACCATCTTAAAATAGTTTAGCTATTGCTTGGTTCGGCTACCTTTTATCCAAATAAAGTATTTTTTTATAATATTTGACAATGTGTTTATCATGATTATTTCTAAGAAGTATTTTTTAACACCAAGAATGCTGTTTGGAAACAAATAAGCAAATCCTTAAAAACAGAACACTAATTCATCTCTAAGCAAGCTTACTTACTTACTAACTTACTTACTTACCATTTCTTCATCTTCTGCAAGGACCAAGTCATAATCGCTAAGTGCCACACAAAAAATTATAGCTGTAACTCCCTCAAAGCAGTGAATCCACTTTTTTCGTTCTGATCTTTGGCCTCCAACATCAAACATCCTGTAAAAGAAGAGCCAAAAAAAAAATCCCTCCAATCAGCTGATTTCAAGATGGGATTCTACCTAGACCAAAATTAATTAGAACAGCTATAATTGATGAGAAAGGCTATAAACCAAGTCTAGTGAGTTTGGAAGAAAAATTAAACCCATTTCACAATATATGTGTCATATCTCTACATTCATTAGAAGATACGTCTATTTTTCCTTTCGGTTTTGCAGATTAGATCCTTAATCATAAAACTGTGGAATGTGCTCCTTTCTGGAGCTGCTATTTCCCAGGATCTTCCATGTTTGATTTTCAGTTTTGTATTTTATTGCCCACCTTCTGTCCCAAACTAAGTTAAAAAGATCACAAACTGAATGAACAAATGAATGAATGAATGAATGAATCAATGAAATAATAGTGAAGAGCTTCATGATTTTACGTTTAATATGGAAGCATTACACATGTTTTCATGCTGAGGACATACTGAAAACCTCTTCATGTTCTTTGCTTATAAGATTGTTGTAGTTAGTCTCTTAAGTATGTACAAAACCCCAAAGTGCTCCTTCAGTTTGATTCTTCAGTTGAATCATTGCACTGAAACCGATTCCAAATCAAATTTCTATGGAGTCTTCCAGGCTATCTTCAAAAGCAAAGTCCACATTCTGGACAAAGAGGACCACTGGTCTGAAAGAGGAGTCAAAGAGGCCATCTACATTAAGATTGAACAGCCCTCTTTCAACAGAGGGGAGAGATACACCACCCGCCTCCTGTTTACAACACAGTCCTTTCAGCAGTTCCAAGAAGGCTCCACACACGTTTGCACTCCTCAAGTGACCTTGAGGGCACAGATAAGCCTCCAAGTGGCCACAACAACTCTCAGAAAGAGTACTACACCCACCTCCTGTTTACAACACAGTCCTTTCAGCAGTTCCAAGAAGGCTGCACACACGTTTGCACTACTCAAGTGACCTTGAGGGCACAGATAGGCCTCCAAGTGGCCACAACAACTCTCAGAAAGAGTACTAACGACCAGATGACTGCAAGGAATATACATCGTCCCATTCCCCACCATTCAGTCAGAACTGAAGAAGCTTCTTGGATGAGAAGCGAAACGTCTTCAAGGAAAAAAACAAGAAAGTCCAGTTGCCTTTTGAAAAAGCACCTTTGGAATTCCAAATCAAAGCATTAGCAAATCAAATCAGAGGGCTGCAAAACACGTTTTTTTTGGGGGGGGATTCCATGGATATTTCTTTCTGTGATTGTTACAAATTTCCCAAATTTGGAGAACAGGCATGAGCGTTCAGGGAGGGCAAGGGTTGTATAATAACATCACACAAGCCTCACACAAGAATATAAGGGTGGTATTTTCATGGTGGCTTTTCAGCATGTACATAATGTGGAATTCCCCCTATGCTTGCCAGCTTAAAAAAATATTATGAGATACTCTGTTCTGGACAGCAATATAGTCTATTTCCACATTTCATGTGAAGAAAATATTTGAATAACACACTGGACACCCAGTATCGTATTTTTAAGGCCATTACTTACTTAAAATGGAGATCTTTGAAAGTGAAATGAGTTTCCACTATTCCTGTCGTTTTCACTCTGGTCCTGAGGACATCTTGCTGTGTTGGAATATAACTGATATGGGCTATTCTGTCCAAATCATTCAAATAGCTAGTAAAACAGAATAAATATTGAGGGCTTTTAAATCTTAAATTGAACTATACATATAAGAAAGGTTAGCTTCACCAAAATATTCTTTTAACTGCTTTGAAGTTGAGGACAGCCTCCAAGAATTGTGGTCCTGGTTGTATGGACAACAGATTCAGCTTCTGAAAGCTATTTAGAAGATGGCTACAAAGTCAAGTATGAAGATTGAATTCATACATTATGCTAAGCAATAGCAATGATTAGCAAAAAGGCAAATGCCAGATGGACTTGATGATTCTTCTCTCCAAGGTATGACCTTCAAAACCTTCTCCATGGTTGGCAAGTCTTCAAGTAGCAGTTGTGTGACCAACTTACCCAGAACTAATCAATAGATGTTACTTAGATGGAAAAATGGAAGATTTGTTCAGAAACCTTTGTCCCAGGGGTAGGCAATCTCGGCTCTTTTATGACTCATGGATTTCAACCCCCAGAATTCCCGAACCAGCATGGCTCAGCTTGGAAACTCTCCCTTTCCCTTCAGCATGGCTAGCTCAGGAATTCTGGGAGTTGAAGTCCACGAGTCATAAAAGAGCCAAGGTTGCCTACCTCTGCTCTATCCTAATGTGAAATATTAATGTTTGAAATCATGTAATTCTGGTGTCTTCAGCAGGACTTACTTTCAGTTCAATGTTTATCAAAAAGCTAGCTTGATGAGACTTATGTCTAGATACTGTAGATACGACTAGAATAACAGCCCTACAGAAAAATCATAATTCAATGGAACTTATTTCTAAATAAATACAGAGCAATCATGTTTATCACCCTAGAAAACATTATTCTAATCAGAACTGGAGAACGTCAGACTTTCTTAATATTTGGGTTAATTTACAAAATCAATTATTCCCAAGGTGCCTTTTCAAAATGCAACTGGACTTTTTTTTACCTTGAAGATGTTTCACTTCTCATCCAAGAAGCTTCTTTAGTTCTGACTGAATGGCGGAGGATGGAAGGATTTGTATCCTTTCTAGTCATTAGTACCCTTTCTGAGAGTTGTTGAGGCCACTTGGGGGTTTATCTGTGCCCTCAGGGTCACCTGAATAGTGCAAATGGGTGTGGAACCTTCTTAGAACTGCTTAAAGCAGGGGTCTTCAAACTTGGCCCTTTTGTGACTTGTGGACTTCAACTCCCAGAATTCCTCAGCCAGGTATGCTGCTGAGGAATTCTGGGAGTTGAAGTCCACAAGTCATAAAAGGGCCATGTTTGAAGACCCCTGGCTTAAAAGATTCTGTTGTAATTAATCTGAGGGCACAGATAAACCTCCAAGTGGCCTCAATCACTCCTCTCAGAAAGAGTACTAATGACCAGATGACTGCAAGGATTATAAATCCTTCCGTTCAGTCAGAAATGAAAAAGCTTCCTGGATGAGAAGCGAAACATCTTCAAGGTAAAAACAAAGTCCAGTTGCTTTTTGAAAAGGCACTTTTGGGACAACCATGACCTGGATGACTGAGAATCTCCACAAACATTTACAAAATCAATTGTTTAAAACAAAGTTTGATTCCGTATGTGAAAGCCACTAGAAAAAAAAAGGAGAGACTTAAGATTGTGATGTCTTATACTGTACAATTAAGTGATTCCATGTTCAGTTTTCTGCCAGATGTGCAATGACCTGTATATTTTTCCAGGAATATTGTGTTTTGACACATTCGCGTTAAACAAATTGTAATTAAAACCAGAGCCTTTTTTATGGAATGATCAACTTTTGAAGTCGGTTCCATCACCAATAAAAAAACCACTTCTAACCAAGCAGTTCGAACAAAAAAGTGATTTATGAGGGCCCCTAGATTTTGACACTGTGATGCTGAGACAGTCATAAGTGTAAGGCATGCTTGTGAATCACTTTTCCCAGTGCCATTGTAGCTTCAGTCACTAAACGAAGGGTTGTAAATCAAGGATTGACTGTAATCTTCATTGAGATAATCAGAGTGGTTATACAGAAATAGTCTCCAATTCTTAAATAGAATCAGCAGCAGCAGAGATCTGTACTGTAAGGTATTGATTAGTGTAAGGATAGACTTTTGTAATAACAGAATAATAGAGTTGGAAGGGACCTTGGAGGTCTTCTAGTCCAACCCCCTGTTCAAACAGGAGACCCTGTACCATACCAGACAAGTGGCTGTTCAATCTCTTCTTAAAAGCCTCTAGTGATTGAGCACCTACAACAGTGATGGCGAACCTTTTAGAGACCGAGTGCCCAAACTGCAACCCAAAACCCATTTATGCAACGTCGGGTGCTGGGTGGGCGTGGCCCATTGAGTGGGCGTGGCTGCAGTGGTAACAGCAGATTGGGTGGGACTAAAAAGTTCAATCAATCAATTCCAACGCAAGAAGTTGAAATTGACTGATTGAACTTTTTTTTTTTTTTGCACACGGCGGCGGAGTCCTAAAGCGAAAAGGTTTATAAAACCCAGCTGAAGGCCTAGGACTGGGGCGATGGCGCGCGTGCCCACAGAGAGGGCTCTGAGTGCCGCCTCTGGTACCCGTGCCATAGGTTTGCCACCACTGACCTACAACTTCTGGAGGCAAGCTGTTCCACTGATTGTTATGAAATTCTCCTTAGTTCTAGGTTGCTTCTCTCCCTGACATCCATTGTTTCTTGTCTTACCTTCTGGAGCTTTGGAAAATAGCTTGACCCCCTCTTCTCTGTGGCAGCCCCTTAAATATTGGAAGACTGCTATCATGTCACCCCTAGTCCTTGTTTTCATTAGACTAAACAAACCCAATTCCTTTAACCGTTCTTCCTTTGTTTTAGCCTCCAGCCCCCTAATCATCTTTGTTGCTCTTTTCTGCACTCTTTCCAGAGTCTCAATAACTTTTTTATGTTGTGGTGACCAAAACTGCATGCAGGATTCTAAGTGTGTATTCAATCAACCTGGTTTTATTTTAGATCTATAGGGGTACATATGTTTCTGTGCAAATTTACCTTGGTTGAAGTGGCTTTGGCTGTTCTCATTTTCTGCAAAAATCAAAGCTCTGGTTTGTTATGTCATAGCATTTGCATCAGATGGCATAATTCTTTTTGCGTACTTACTATGCAGCTGAGTCATTAAGCTGATACTCTCTTGATCGGTTGAAACAGGCTTGAACACCAAGATCTTTCCAAAGTCTTTTGATCACCCCAGCAAGTTCTCCTGTCATAAAACCTTCTTCTGCTCCTCCAGCAAGGACAAAGAGTAGACGTGCATCATCCTAGGAGGAGGAGGAGGAGGAGGAGGAGGAGGAGGAGGAGGAGGAGGAGGAAGAAGAAGAAGAAGAAGAAGAAGAAGAAGAAGAAGAAGAAGAAGAAGAAGAAGAAGAAGAAGAAGAAGAAGAAGAAGAAGAAGAAGAAGTTGTTTAAAAAACCTCATTCATTTTGTAGGAATTGCTACCTTTGGAGGTTTTCACTGCAGTTTTATACTTTCTTAGTGGGAAGTAATTTTTAGGAAAAAAGGAAGTGACAGCTACAATGTTCCTGAATTTCTGAATTTTTAATTTCAGAATTAAGAACAGTATTTAAAGGGAATATTAAAAAGCTAATACTTACAGCCCTGGCTAAATCTCCAAAATCTATTTTCAGTCTCCCCATAGCTCTTATGATAGCAATAATGGACTGAATCGTATTACTGTAGACAACTGCCTTATATTGTTTACATTCTTCTTCTGAATATCCAGCTTCATGGATAATTCTGATCAGGAAAAATAAAAGCATCCTTTAGTTTAATGACATCATTTCCTGATTTTACTAAGTGTATATCCTCATGCTTAGGCATACGTACTTCATTTGTTTGACAATTGTGCTTTTTCCTGATTCACCGGCTCCTAAAAAAAAAAAAAACCAGAAAGACACAATGAGTTATTTAATGGAAATGTTCTAAATAAAGGAATGTAGTAGAATTAGCTCATCTGACATATTTCCTCTTTGGCTTAACCGGGAAAGCTGACATCAATCTTGCAAGTCCAGAGATCAAGTTCAGTTGTATATTTAATAGCCAGACTTCATTGACCTGGTTCTTACCTTGAACAAAATTCCATTTTTAAGGGACAGGTACAAATTTATGACTATGAGCTATATGATTGGTTGATTGATTGATTGATTGATTGATTGTCTGACTGATTTTGCAGACCTAGGCAGAGGTGTGTATTGGCTAATGTCAAAGAAAATGGCAGAGCTGTTGTTCCAAAAGACAATTGAGTTTTCTTCTGAAGAACTTCAGAAGTTCTTCAGAAGAAGTTCTTCAGAAGCATCTTGAATGAGACGCGAAACTTTTCCAAGGAAAAACCAAGAAAGTCCAATTGCTTTTTGGAAAAGCACCTTTTGGAACAACCATGACCTGGATGATCGAGATACAGAGACATTTTTTTCACCTCTTCCAGGTTTTCCCTCTATCTACAGAGCAAGATTCTTTTCTTTCTTTGATGATCTATGCCTTAAATGTGAAAACTACATAAAATAAACTGTGAAAATGAATAGTTTAGCTTTCAGATTTTTGCCATGAAATTTCAGCAGGGTGCTTGCATCTCTAATAAACTATCGTGCGGTCTTTGTTCTGATAAAAACAAAGGATATTGTCAGCCCCAGCCCCAAAATGACATAGAACAATCCAGCCGAAGTTCAGTTCTTTGTTTGCTTACGTGCAATAGACAGAATCTTGCCAGGCTAAACTATGCTATCCTAATGGATTAATCCTGGGAGATTCTAGTGAGTGGCTATCCTAAATCTCATCTTCTGTCTCCTGTCCAGCTCTAGGCTATTCTGCCTCTTGTCTGCCCTCCATCATTGAAATATGCTCCATTCTTCCCAGGAAATTGCCTCTTTACTCTAATCCATCACACCACTTCCCCCTTTGTAGACACAACCATTCACATATTTTTAAGCAGAAGAAAATTACATTCCTTATCTAACAGCCCTTTACTGCTTCAATGCTTCTCTCAACCCTGATAGTTACCGTCTTAGAATGTGGATCAAATTTTCTGGCCCATATTCTATATTAATACCAAATATGAGGATCACGGTTCTCCAAGACGTATTCCAATTTCTTCCTAGAATCTCTTGACATTTTTATAACTCACTTATTCTTCCTTACTTAGATAAGCTAGATTGGTTTGGTGAACATCAATGTACTCTACTCTTCCTTCATTAAATCAAGATCTATACTTATCTTACATAGGGTTAGCTGTTCAGCCAAATGGAAAAAAAATATCTGAAGGATTTGCCTTGATTTCTCCCAACACTTTCTTTGCAATTTGAACTACTGACTTTGCTGTCTGGAAGTGAGAATATAGTTCCAGCTAAGAGAAGTCTATTTCTACTTTTCAGAAGTCTGAAGATCAAAAATAAATATTTAATGTAGAATTAAATTAAATTAAACTAAATTAAATTTAAAATTAAATTAAATTTAAAATTAAATTAAATTAAATTATTAAATATTAAATTAAAATAACACTGAGAGCTTATACACTGGAGACAAATTCCTTGTGTGTCCAATCACACTTGACCATAAAGAATATTTTATTCTAAAGAGTATTCTATTCTATTTGTTTATTAGATAGAGATAAATGCCTAAAGATTGCATTAATGTTGCAATTCAGAAAAAAAATGTCTGTATAAGATCTGTTATTTTAAAGATGTTTAGAATCAACCGACAATCTATTTGATCTCAACATGCCATTAATTAAATATATAACCTCTTAAATATATAACCATTATATTTATGAACAGAGCATATCCCATTTCGTCTAAATATTTAGGCAGGTATGGGGAAACATGTGGAGTTTGTTTTCCTAGAGATGGAAAACCTGTAGGAAAAACACACAACCCAAATAAGCATTCTCTGATTTATGTTGATTTTCAGATTTAAGATTGAAACATAATCTAATCTCTCTTTGGGCACAGCTAATAAAGGGGAAAGACACATACTCCTGAATATATCTTACATATGCTTTCATATTTATTCATATAATTCAGATTCTTAATAGAATTTTATACCTCTAGGAAAATAAGCTCTGCATATCACTCGCCCATAATTACCTATATATATAGGTAAAATACACTATAAAATATTTAAGAGGTAGACAAATGGCATACTAAGATCAAATAAAGTATTGGATGATTCACACCAGTTTAAGCTTGCTTCCAACTATTTAATAATCACCAAAACAAGGAGCTATCCATTTAAATCAGATTGCTGAAACAGCCTTGATATATACTATTTTAAACACAGACTTGGTCTTCTGTGTTTTTCAAGAGCATGGCTCACAGAGTACAGAACGTAATAGCAATAGCCCTTAGACTTATATACCACTTCACAGTGCTTTACAGCCCTCTCTAACCAGTCAGCCTCTTGCCCCCGACAATCTGGGTCTTTATTTTACTGACCTCGGAAGGATAGAAGGCCGAGTCAACCTAGAGCTGGCCAGGATCAAACTCCTGGCAGTGGGCAGAGTCTGCCTGCAATACTGCATTCTAACCACTGCACCACCACGGCTTAGATAGCAATAGCAATAGCACTTAGACCTATATGCCACTTCCTTGTGCTTTACAGCCCTCTCTAAGCAGTTTACAGAGTCAGCATCTTGCCCCCAACAATCTAGGTCCTCATTTTACCGACCTCAGAAAGACAGAAGGCTGAGTCAACCTTGAGCCGGTCAGGATCGAACTGCTGGCAATGGGCAGAATTAGCCTGCAATGCTGCATTCTCACCACTGTGCCTCTTAACTGCCTCTGCCTCATTTACATTTATATATTTAGTTCAATCCCAATCAAAACTGCATTGCAAATTGGTGGGTTTTCTTCTTTGAAACAAAAATGCAGGAATGAGTCATCTGTTGCACCTTCTCTGGGGAAAAGCTACACAAGTTGTTGATCTACTAAGTAAACCACAGACTAATGAATTAAATACATATAACTTTATTCTTGTTATTTTTAACCATTGATTCGTGTCGACTCTTGGCGAATTTATAGGCAAGTGCTCGCCATGCTAACCTGTCAATCACAGCTTCTTTCAACTGTCATATGTTCAACTTTGCATCAGATTTCATGTTAGCAAGCCAACATGTTCTTTGCGTACCCTTTTTTCTTTTTCCACTAACCATTCCTAACATCATGGACTTATCACCATCATCATCATCATCATCAAGTTGGAAGGGACCTTAGAGGTCATCTAGTCCAATCCCCTGCTCAGGCAGGAAACCCTATACCATTTCAGACAAATAATGAATTCAGACTTTTCCAATGAATTTACATGCATGACGTGGCCAAAGTAAATCAGATGTAATCTAGTCCAAAGTTGTGACATAACATTGTACTAGGTTTATATCTAAAGTCTAAACAATATTTTGTGACTTTTGCAAACCAAAATGTTGTAGCTTGTAAATTCATTCTGCCAAATAAGTGGCTCTCCCATTAGTAGTAAGTCTTAAAGAATGACAAAAGTTTCATTTCTGAGAAACTTTGTAGGGTGTCTTGTTATTAAACTTTGGAACAAACTATTTGATTTAAAAGCCATAATTAAGAAAAATTATATTACAATTTGATTATTTTTTATTTAAAAACAAAACAAAACAAAAAAAAGGAAACAAGCTTACTCAAACTAACAGAAGTAAGATTTACAGACATTTTGAACGATGCTCAAAAATAGCTTTTGACGGACATTTAAGGAAGACGTGTATGATGTACTTTATTAAACCACATGAAATTTAAATATTATTTGCCACACAGTATGTAAACTGTACTCCCCAATTCTTTCAGGTGGATCAGCAAAAAGGTAGAGGGGAAAAAAAACTCATTTAAAATAGAAAGTAATACTGAACCGTAATATTATTGTGAATTAGGTCTTTAATAATAATAACAACAACAACTTTGCTGATTAATATACAACAACTCTTCATAATACATAACTAGCTAGCCCTGTCTGATTTTTGTTTCCCCGTGGACATAGTTCAGCTTTACAGAAACAATAAAAAGAATTGGATTTTCATTTGGAAACTTTTCTATAATATAAGCATCAGCCTAGGAAAATACACATAACCAACAGTTTCTATACTACAAGTGATTGAGCTACTTCATAGCTACGATATTTTTTAACAAGATCTAAATTCTTACTGCAAGAAGCTCAATGTATCCAGGGCACTCAGGATCTACAGTAGCACCTGTTGAAAAAATAGTTTTATTAATCTAAATCAGTGGTTCTCAACCTGTGGGTCGGGACCCCATTTGGGGTCGAACGACCATTTCACGGGGGTTGCCAAACAACACAGTCCGCCATTTTTTTTCCCCTTTTCCTTAGCTGTGCTACTCCCTTTTATTCTATTGGCTTTGGAAAGCCAATAGAATAGACTCTCTTGAATAGAGTCTAATTCTATTGGCTTTCCAAAGCCAATAGGAATTGTCCAGGCTGTCTCTGCCCTGCTGAGCCCGCCAAAAGCCCCATTCTGCAAACGGTGTTGCACCAGTTGAGTAGTCCTCGACTTACGACCGGTTGAGTAATCCTCGACTTACGACCGGTTGGGGGTTGCGGCATTAAAAAGGTTGAGAACCACTGATCTAAATGGTACTAGCCCCGATCTAAGAGAGAATTAACTGGGAACTAACTATGGGACCTGCTGCCAGCCTAGGCCGAAAGGAACATGATAACATAGCTAGCAAATTTAATTTCATAAAAGATAGCAAAATCCACTTATCTGAAACAAGTCACTCTGGCAGAAACACAAGTATGTTATGTACTTCTCTCTTCGTTTCTGACAAGGTACAGGATTTAAGAAAAGCATTAGAGCCAGCTGCCCTGCCCTGTGTCACGTCTGATACAGCATTTAAAATATTA